GGAGCCCAAGGCATTACGTAGGTGGTGGGGTGGGTGCCGATTGGCCAATGAATTGGGCTCTTGAGTTTTGTAATTTTAGGTAAGCTAGGACTTAATTGTAATGAATAGGTAAGTTGAGGGTACGATAGCCGATAGACTCTGAATTTCAAAGTCTCTTGTCAAAGGTAAGCCTTGGTGGCCAGTGGTGAACCGGCAATGGTTTACTATCCGGACGGCAATGGTTTACTATCTGCACGGTAATGATTTACTATGCGGCATGGCCATAGTCTACTACCCGCACGGCTTCCGGACGGCAAATGGTTTACTATCCGCACGGCAATAGTCTACTATCCGCACGGCAATGGTTTACTATCCGGTGCCCTGGCTATCGGTGAACCTCTGTGCAAGGAGGGAGAATGAAGGGGGACTTTCGACTATCGTACCATTAACAATTTAATATAGATTAGCTAAGGTAATTGAATAGGTAGATAGGATTATTTTTATTATGCAATTTGAGATGCAAGCACCGCTAAGCTTTCTGATGAGAATTTTCTCTTTCTCCATCCCACGGGCTGTGTTTCAACAACAATCTCGAGGAGGACTGGCACAATTTTGGAGGACAGCGTAGGAACCGGAAAGCATTCAACATTCTGCCTTTGTCGAATGGACGACGGTAAGTTTTTTTTACATTTTACTCTCTTTATTATTTTAAGATATTTATTTGCCATTATTTTTATTGTATAATTTTTGAGTTCTAAGATTCTAACATTCATTTATTACTACGTTAATAAAAAAAATTTGTCTACAGAATGATGAGAGGTGGGCAGTGGTGGGAATCAGCACATTTCAGATGGTGGTCTCATGATGATTTACGTATGATGATGGTGGTGTAGAAAGAATCAGCGCGTTGGCTGTTCGACTGACACTCAGAAGTTCGGAGGAAATCTTCTGTGCCGACCAGATGATGGTGGTCGGTGCAATGAATTACTGTAACGACAATTTTTGAAGTAAGGTTAATTTTGTTTTTTTATTTTTCTCATTCATTTATTTGTTCATTTTATCACTCAATCTTTCCAATTATTCTTCCATTAATTGACATTAATTCATTCTATTCGTTCATTAAATCATTGATTGGTTAATTAGTTCATTCATTCAACCAATCATTCAGTTAATCATTTATTCGTTCGCTCCTTTGTTTCTTGATTTACTACTATGCTAATAAAAAAAACTTGTCTACAGAATGATGAGAGGTGGGCTGTGGTGGGCGTCAGCACGTTTCAGATGGTGGTCTCATGATGATCGTTCCGATGACAAATCGAAGAAAACAACAACACGACGTCCGTAGTTAGTGAAGCAGTTTCTAGAGAGTACACACGCGCACATTTACACACGCACATTTACACACACATCAATACAACACACACATACACAACATCCATTTTTCGGTGTTGTTGTTGTTGTTATGTTTCTCTTCAACTTGCTATATTCTTTACCGGACTTTAATTTAATTCGTAGGTAAGTTAGGGATTGAGATGAGTTGGACAATCGTAGGTAGGCTAGGGCTTAACATTAGTTAAAAAGTTTCTAACAAAAGAAAATTTAAAAAAAATTAAATTATACAAAAAAGGCAAATTAAAAAGTTTAAAATTTATAAAATACGATACCAGAAATATGTAAAATTTCTAAAACTTAGAATTACAAAATTGTAGGTAGGTGAGATGAGTTAATCCTTATAGGTAAGCTAGGGCCCTGAGAGTAATTCAATTGTAGGTAGGTGACTGACTACTATTCTTGCGACTTTTTACTATTTTTTGTTGTGTGTTTGTTTTTGTTTCACACCACAACACCAACAAAACATACGACACTTTTTTTTCGTCGTCGCCTTAAATTTGACTGTTTTGAACAATTTTTTTAATATTGTCTATTTATTCATTTTTTAAATGTTGACTGATTTCTAGTTTTTTTTTAATTTGGTTATATAATTTTTCGTATTTCTTGATTTTCTTTGTATATATGCATGCATGTATAAATAATTTCTATTTGGTATGTTGATTTAGCCATTATGATATGTTGTGAATTGTTCTTAATAAATGTTCACGCTACATTACATTTTTTTCGTCGTCGCCTTATATTATACCTTTTTGAACAGTCTTTCTAATAATGTTTATTTATTTTATTTGTAAATTTATTTTATTTGGTTTCTAATTTAGGTAATTTACATTTAAAAATTTTTATTTTCAGTCATTTTTCATTTTTGAACTTGGATATCCAATAAAAGCAACTGTCGTGTTTTTCTTTCCATGCTAAAATCTAAAATCTCGAAATTGTTTGTAGATACGTACGCTTCGGCAAACTTAGCAATTTTTAATTTTTTTCGGTTTTTCAAAATTCGTTCGTTCATTTGGTTCATTCGTATGGTTCATTCAGTTTGGTTCATTGATTAGTTGGTTGATTAGTCGATTGGTTGGTTGATTAGTTGATTGAATGAATGATTTATTGAGCGGTTGTTTGGTTGGTTGCTTGATTGATTGTTTGATAAATGTTTGGATGGGTGGGTGGTTAGTTGAACATTCGAATTTATTGAATGTGTGTTCGGTTGATTTGATTGATTGATTGATTGATTGATTGATTGATTGGTTGATTGATTGATTGATTGATTGATTAATTGATTGATTGATTGATTGATTGATTGGTTAATTCATTGATAGTACAGTATTAAGCAATATCTCATAGTACTGTATATATGCTAAATAGTGATTCTATAGTTCAATCCTAGTAAGCCAACCTATGAAGCCACCGGATTTCACTGGATAAATTCAATTTTTATATTTAAATTAACAAAAATAATTTAATAATACAAAATTTAATTTAATAAAATTAAATAGAATCACTACATTGTTTTAAACGTATTAAGTCAAGTAAATATTTCATATAGCTTGTTTGTAAAAACCCATGCAATTTCAAAGGTACGCTGACAAATCAGTATGTCAAAACGCGGCCATTTAGTAAACAAAAACTTTCGAACTTTTCACCTAAAGTTTGGTTTTTAAAAAGTAAAAATATCTGCCGAAATGTTATCTTTGATTAGAAAAAGTTTAAATGTATCAAATAAAGTAAAAATTTTACTAAACTATAAAAATTTTCATCAGATCAGCTGTGTCACCCACGTATTAATCCGTAATTTTGATTCAACAAAAGTTCGATTTTACTCACAAGATGGTGGCGACGCTGACGTACCACAGTTGAAAGGTCGATTTTTATTTGTATTTCATTTTAAATTTTATTTTTATAGTTAATCAAAAAATTCTAAAAATTAATTAAACTATAAATTCTCCAGAAGCCCCGGAGATAGAAATTAAAGACGTGGAGAAGTTAGTGAAGAACCCGCCACGAATCATCATTTTGGACGTTAGGAGGCCTGAGGAATTGAGAGAAGAAGGGAATGTACCAACTGCTTTCAACCTTCCAGGTTTTTGACACGAAATTTGCTACATAATTTTTGCATAATTTTTTTATATAAATAATTAATTATACTAATAACTAAACTAATGTTATACTCAACATTATAAAATAAAAATATGTATGTCACTCAATATTTTACAAATTTTTTCAGTTTTCTAACCCGCCTTGATAGAACTTTTTTTTAAATACCAATCATTGTTATAATTTTAAACAGTAAATTTTGTTTTTTTCCTTCTCCCAAAAAAGTTGATGACTTGGAAGATGCCCTAAAGCTGAACAAAAAATTTTTCAGGGTGCTGTTCGGATTTGACAAACCTGACCCTGACGATCTGATTGTAGTTTATTGTAGGTCAGGTAAAAGGTCAGCCAGGGCTGGGCAGATACTATTGAAAAATGAATTCAATAAGTAGGATGTGACAGTTTATTTACATTACGAAATAATTACAAAAATCCACTAATTTAAATAATTTAAATTTTTTTTTGTAGTGTCTTAAACTTCAAAGGCAGCTGGAATGAGTGGAGTGAACATCATCCAGAAGATTCTTTAAAAAAGAAATAATTTATTATTATTATGTATTTTTTTGGTGTGACAATATACATTTTTTTCGTAGTCTTAAATTTGTAGTCCATAAATTAGGTACTTTCATGTTGTTTTACATGGTTGAAATTATCGTCTGAATTTTACACTATGACATCTTCAAAATCGCGTTCAACTTCGTTATTTATCGAGTTAGCTCAGAAGGTACGGTGACTCGTCTCGCTTCATTGCTTTCATTGCACTCTCTAGCCGTTCGATTCCCGACTGTGCAATTTTCGAAGACAGTCATGAGTGTGGCTGGTGTGGAAGTTACGGCAACATGCACGTGTATATGTATTGTGGTGTTAGTGTTGTCTCTATATCGACTCGTGTGGTGTGGTGTTGTATGGACGCCTCGTCGAGTCGTGTAGATTTAGCTTCATTCGTTGTACAATAGTTTTAGTTGCATCTAAATAACTGATAAAGGGTTTGTAAGCCAATGTGAACACATTTTAAAAATAAAAAATCTCTTTTTGATGATTACAGTTAGACTTCTTTTTAAATGTCTTTTTAAACTGTGTTATCTTAATTTCTGTGATGTATATTTAAAGATGTGCACAATCTAGTGATGTACCCAATTGAGGAATCGGAATTTGGAACCGGGTCTATTCAGACAATGTTTGGAATTTTTATAGTACGATGAATCGTGGAAGTCGTCCTTCAAAGTGATCTGTGGAAATGCTTGTTCGTGTATGTGCCTGTTATTGTCTCATTGTTAAACGTGTGTGTGTGTGTCAGTGTGTGTGTGTGTCAGTGTGTGTGTGTGTGTGTGTGTGTGTGTAATTCGGCGTGTGTTTAAGTATTTTTGTACGTATGTGTGTATGTGTGCCTGAGTTTATGTCGGCGTATATGTATATT